GAATTGTTACTCAGGGACACAGAATTGTTACTCAGGGACACAGAATTGTTACTCAGGGACACAGAATTGTTACTCAGGGACACAGAATTGTTACTACTCAGGGACACAGAATTGTTACTCAGGGACACAGAATTGTTACTCAGGGACAGACACAGAATTGTTACTGAGGGACACAGAATTGTTACTGAGGACACAGAATTGTTACTGAGGGACACAGAATTGTTACTCAGGGACAGACACAGAATTGTTACTCAGGGACACAGAATTGTTACTGAGGGACACAGAATTGTTACTGAGGGACACAGAATTGTTACTCAGGGACACAGACACAGAATTGTTACTCAGGGACACAGAATCGTTACTCAGGGACACAGAATCGTTGAATTAAAGAGTATGTCAGACAACACGCAGAGGAGTGGCAGAGGAGGCAATGTTTCAGGAGCGAGCAGACGTGGCAGCAGAGGAAGGGGTCGAGGCAGCACTAGTCGCAGCAGCCAGAGGCCAGTGCTCCCGGTGTCATCCAGCGGTCGTGTCTCCACCGACAACCCTGCCGTCATCGATTGGTTGGCTCGGTCGTCTTCCTCTTCCCAGGTCACCTCTGACACCTACAGCCAACGGTCGGTGGGTACGTCAGACACAACCGTTAGTTGGCATGGCCCGGGAGCAAGCCCACTGAAATCACGTGTGTCCTCTACCTGCCCCTGTCCTTTGGTGTTCCCTCACCAAGCGAAGTATCGCATGCTGTGGGCTCAGCCCCACTGTACAGTGAGGAAGAGCTAACAGAGGGCGGTCAGGAACGGGGGGAGACATCCGCCTCTTCAGCAGCCAGCCAGGCGAAGAAGTACTGGCGAGGAGAGTGGCTCGGTAGCCGGTCTAGAGACAGGTCTGTCTCCTGACCCACACGCAGCCGAGGGGGCTAGTAGTGAGGCGGAGACCCTAATTGATGATGATGAGGCTGATCGCACTTGGCAGCCTCGTCGTCATCAGGCTATTGCTTCCGCATCATCAGGAGAAGAGAGGGTGCCAGCTTGGCAGCGAGCAAAACAGTCGGTGGGTTGCCCAGGAGGCAGCAGGGTCGCAGCAGTGTCAGTGGAGGCAAACGGCCACGGAGTAGAGCACCAGCTCCACTGCAGCCTACCACACCACGGCCAGTAGTGGTGTGCCGGTGTGCACGGAGGAAGTAGCAGTCAGCCAGTGAGGAGTAGCGGGGGCAAAGTTTCCTACTCGTGCTGGTGTGGCAATTTTTCGTCAAGCCGCCCCGAGGAAGTAAACGTAGCCGTATGTCGACTATGTGGCCAGAAAGTCAAGCGTGGCCAGGGGGCCCATGTCTCCATCGCCACACTCTGCCATGTGCCACTTTCAGGTCTCCTCACACTGCTGGTGGGTTCCATTTTGTCATAGGGTGCTGGCAGATTACGGGCCTCCCATTGCTGCTGCCAGGCCGTAATCTGTCATGGGCCCCCTGTGTACCCGCCTCCTCATGCTGCTGCCAGGTCCCGTAATCTGTCATGGGTCCCTGTACGGCCTCCCATTGCTGCTGTCTCCATCTCGCCACACTCTGCCATGTGCCACTTTCAGGTCTCCTCACACTGCTGGTGGGTTCCATTTTGTCATAGGGTGCTGGCAGATTACGGGCCTCCCATTGCTGCGCCAGGCCCGTAATCTGCCATGGGCCCCCGTACCGCCTCCTCATGCTGCTGCCAGGCCCAGAGTGTCTCATGGGTCCCTGTACGGCCTCCCATTGCTGCTGTCTCCATCGCCACACTCTGCCATGTGCCACTTTCAGGTCTCCTCACACTGCTGGTGGGTTCCATTTTGTCATAGGGTGCTGGCAGATTACGGGCCTCCCATTGCTGCTGCCAGGCCCCGTAATCTGTCATGGGCCCCCCTGTACCGCCTCCTCATGCTGCTGCCAGGTCCCGTAATCTGTCATGGGTCCCTGTACGGCCTCCCATTGCTGCTGTCTCCATCGCCACACTCTGCCATGTGCCACTTTCAGGTCTCCTCACACTGCTGGTGGGTTCCATTTTGTCATAGGGTGCTGGCAGATTACGGGGGCCTCCCATTGCTGCTGCCAGGGCCCGTAATCTGCCATGGGCCCCTGTACCGCCTCCTCATGCTGCTGCCAGGCCCGTAGTCTGTCATGTCCCTGTACGTCCCTGTACGGCCTCCCATTGCTGCTGTCTCCATCGCCACACTCTGCCATGTGCCACTTTCAGGTCTCCTCACACTGCTGGTGGGTTCCATTTTGTCATAGGGTGCTGGCAGATTACGGGCCTCCCATTGCTGCTGCCAGGCCCGTAATCTGTCATGGGCCCCTGCCCCTGTACCCCCGCCTCCTCATGCTGCTGCCAGGTCCCGTAATCTGTCATGGGTCCCTGTACGGCCTCCCATTGCTGCTGTCTCCATCGCCACACTCTGCCATGTGCCACTTTCAGGTCTCCTCACACTGCTGGTGGGTTCCATTTTGTCATAGGGTGCTGGCAGATTACGGGCCTCCCATTGCTGCTGCCAGGCCCGTAATCTGCCATGGGCCCCCCCGTACCGCCTCCTCATGCTGCTGCCAGGTCCAGAGTGTCTCATGGGTCCCTGTACGGCCTCCCATTGCTGCTGTCTCCATCGCCACACTCTGCCATGTGCCACTTTCAGGTCTCCTCACACTGCTGTGGGTTCCATTTTGTCATAGGGTGCTGGCAGATTACGGGCCTCCCATTGCTGCTGCCAGGCCCGTAATCTGCCATGGGCCCCGTACCGCCTCCTCATGCTGCTGCCAGGTCCAGAGTGTCTCATGGGTCCCTGTACGGCCTCCCATTGCTGCTGTCTCCATCGCCACACTCTGCCATGTGCCACTTTCAGGTCTCCTCACACTGCTGGTGGGTTCCATTTTGTCATAGGGTGCTGGCAGATTACGGGCCTCCCATTGCTGCTGCCAGGGCCCGTAATCTGCCATGGGCCCCCGTACCGACTCCTCATCATGCTGTGACGTTGCAACAAGGTGGAATTCAACCCTACATATGTTAGACCGCCTTTACAAACAGCGAAAGGCCATCACCCGATTCCCTGATGTTACAAGCGGATAAAGGTACTACTCCCCTGTGTAACTTAGATGTCAGCCATTGGCAGCTCATGCGTGACACCTGCCACTTGCTCAGGCCCTTTGAGAGGAGGCCACGCTATTCGTGAGTCGGCAGGACTATGGGATGAACGACGTCATTCCTCTGTTGCACGTCCTGGAACAAATGCTGTTAACAATGGCTGGTCAGGGTGCGGTAGACGTGGCGCACAGATCTCAACGCCACATGACCCCTGTGGGGGCAGGACAGGAAAGAAGAGGAGGAGGTAGAGGAGGACATTGGTGCTCAGGAATTATTGAGTGAAATGGGTGGGTTTTTCCACTCAGTGGACAGGAGTGGAGGAGCAGGAGCATCTGGTAGAGGAGGAGGAGGAGACAGAGGACCCAGACGCACCGTGGCAGTATGCTGTGTGGAGATGGAGGCAGGGAGTCCCTCGCATTCCTTGGCACAAATGGCCCATAGCATGCTCGGTTGCTTGCGTAGCGACAGCCGAATAATAACCATCAGACAGAGGGATGACTTTTGGCTGTCCACCTTGTTGGACCCTCGCTACCGTTCAAAAATGGTGGCCTTTTTTTCACACCTGCTGAGAGAGGGAGGCCAAAATAAAGTACTATAAAAACCACCTATGTAGTCAGTTGGTCTCTGCCTTTCTGCGCCAACGTCCATCCTCAGACACTGTGGGCCCTGTGCGCTCGCGTTCCGCTGCCATGGCAGCAGGGGAGGGGTGGGGTGGTAGGAGCAGTGGCAGCTCCACCAGCAGCGGCTGCCTCAGTCTGCAGTCGATGATGAGTAGCTTTCTTCACCAGCGCAGTGAGGAAACTACTAACCAGCCGCAGCAGCAGCAGCATCAGGTGGACCTGGAGCAGGACCTCAAACAACAGGCTTGGGCCTACTTGGACAGCACCCTGCCAACCGAGGTAGACAATCCCCTTGACTACTGGGCAACGAAACTTGACCTTTGGCCCCAACTAGCTGAATTTGCCCTTGAAAGGCTGTCATGCCCGGCCAGTAGCGTGGCATCGGAGCGCGTGTTTAGTGCGGCAGGAGGTATTGTAACTCCGCGGAGGACACGACTGTCCACCCAAAGTGTGGAGAGACTCACGTTTGTGAAAATGAATCAGGCGTGGATTAGTCTGGATTTCAAACCACCAGTTCCTGACACAACTGACTAAATCCGCCATGAATCATGCCCCAAACATGTTATTATTTTTAACATAGGCCTCTGTATGGCCTTCAATTTAAGCTGCTTACGCTTCGCCACTCTGCCATGGGCTCCTGTACCGCCTCCTCTTGCTGCTGCCAGGTCCAGAGTGTGTCATGGGTCCCTGTACGGCCTCCCATTGCTGCTGTCTCCATCGCCACACTCTGCCATGTGCCACTTTCAGGTCTCCTCACACTGCTGGTGGGTTCCATTTTGTCATAGGGTGCTGTATGGCCTCCCATTGCTGCTGCCATGGGCCCCCGTACCGACTCCTCATGTTGCTGCCAGGCCCGTAATCTGTCATGGGCCCCTGTACCGCCTCCTCCTCATGCTGCTGCCAGGTCCAGAGTGTCTCATGGGTCCCTGTACGGCCTCCCATTGCTGCTGTCTCCATCGCCACACTCTGCCTGTGCCACTTTCAGGTCTCCTCACACTGCTGGTGGGTTCCATTTTGTCATAGGGTGCTGGCAGATTACGGGCCTCCCATTGCTGCTGCCAGGCCCGTAATCTGCCATGGGCCCCCGTACCGCCTCCTCATGCTGCTGCCAGGTCCAGAGTGTCTCATGGGTCCCTGTACGGCCTCCCATTGCTGCTGTCTCCATCGCCACACTCTGCCAGGTGCCACTTTCAGGTCTCCTCACACTGCTGGTGGGTTCCATTTTGTCATAGGGTGCTGGTAGATTACGGGCCTCCCATTGCTGCTGCCAGGCCCGTAATCTGTCATGGGCCCCTGTACCGCCTCCTCATGCTGCTGCCAGGTCCAGAGTGTCTCATGGGTCCCTGTACGGCCTCCCATTGCTGCTGTCTCCATCGCCACACTCTGCCATGTGCCACTTTCAGGTCTCCTCACACTGCTGTTGGTTTCCATTTTGTCATAGGGTGCTGGCAGATTACGGGCCTCCCATTGCTGCTGCCAGGCCCGTAATCTGCCATGGGCCCCCGTACCGACTCCTCATGCTGCTGCCAGGACCGTAATCTGTCATGGGCCCCTGTACCGCCTCCTCATGCTGCTGCCAGGTCCAGAGTGTCTCATGGGTCCCTGTACGGCCTCCCATTGCTGCTGTCTCCATCGCCACACTCTGCCATGTGCCACTTTCAGGTCTCCTCACACTGCTGGTGGGTTCCATTTTGTCATAGGGTGCTGTATGGCCTCCCATTGCTGCTGCCTCCACCGCCACACTGTGGCTCCACACTCTGGTTTTGGCCCCGTGACTGCCCAAATGAGTGAAGTGTGCGGTGATTCTAAGATCGACGGCACTCATCTGCATGTCATACTGACTGACAGTATTATTTCTCTTCCCCAGCAGACTCCAAGGGCATTTAAATTAAAGGTACAGTGTTCTGCACTAATATAAAGGCTCTCTGAAGCCTAGAAACACCCTTTTTATAAGTTAAATTCGCAGCGAATATATTCGCATCGAATCGAATTTATTCCTCGAATTCGCCGAATCAGCCGAATCGAATTTTTGAATACTTTGCTCATCTCTACTTAAAACCAGTAAAATGCATGCATTTATTTCATGAAAGAACTCACCACAGCGGTGATCCCTATCAGAAACCCGAGGCTGAACTTCCAGACTAGTAAACTGAAACACAAAGCAATAAGCATCTACTGTGCTGTCTCTAGCTAACCCAGGGTGCTCTAGGAATCCTTTGCCATGTAATAAATGTTTGTAATTTGTAAACTACCTTAGATTGTACGCCCTTTGAGGGTTAGGGACTGATGTGAATGTACAATATATGTAAAGCGCTGCGTAAATTGAGGGCGCTAAATAAGTACCTGAAATAAATAAAAAGTTTCATAAATAGTATTAAAACCCCCCCCAAAAAACAAAACCAGATTATAAAAACAGTTAAGAACATAACCCTAAGCCATTAAAGTTTTACTTTAAACACTGACTAAAGGGAATTTTATGGTTTATGTTGCCATGGGACGTCCTGCTTCTCTCCTCATTTCCATTCCTTCTTTTATTCATTTGCATGTTTTAAAATTTGGCTATGAATACTTGTTATCTTGAGCTAATGGAAACTGCATTTTCACTATTGCAGCAAATTAGAATACTATTCCTGTTTAATTTTTAGAATATTTCTGGGTATTAAAGGCTGATATCATTACACCAAATCTGGGATTTTAATTGCGGCACCTTTGAGCAAATCACAAAATTATAAAAGCATGATCCAATAGCTTGGTGATAATCAGAGGTTTAATTTTTAAAAAAGGATGGCACAAAGGATAATAGAGAATTGCAATAGTTTTGTTTTGTGTTTGTGGTCCGCATTAAAAAAATAAATCTGTGTACTTTAAATTTGTATAATTTTATTATATGTATTTATCTAAATTGCTTAAGGTAGACTCTTCTTTATGACTGTTTTCTAGATTGAACAGACGCTGATGTGGGTGCCTTCTTTAGTTGCTTCAGTATTATAATTTTACACACCTATTCCATTAGTCACTTTAATAAAGCAAACCTGTCATAAAAAAATATGTACAATGCCATTGTCTCACAATGCTAGTTGTCTAGCTGTTTCTGACTTCCATACTTCTTAGTAGGAATGAGCTTGGACTGAATTTTACTTGTTTTCGTGTTTGTGTGAATGCCTGACTTTTTGCTTATTTGCCAGGACCCAAATGTCATGTATAGTAGCGATATTTCTATCACTACTACACATGACAGCTTCCTGTCAATGATTGTTAAGGAAGCAGTGGGTGCATCCACCTTGTCCTTGGCAACCAGTAATGTTATCCAAACCCAATTGTCCATCAGTTGTCAGGCATTTCTCATCATAATTCATAGGGATATGCATCACTGGATGATGTTATTGACGATGGGTTTACATCGTGGGATTTTTTTTTAACGGTATGGGGGAGATTTAGTAAAAATGGCACAGACAGAATCTGGTCCAGCTGTGCATAGCAATCAGCTTCCAGGTTTTATTGTCAAAGTTTAACTGAATAAGCTGAAGTTAGAAGCTGATTGGTCACTATGTACAGCTGCACCAGTTTCTGCGTGCTCCGTGTATCTGGTGCCCCCTCATTGTCTTTCAATATTCTTCCAGATTCCAATAAGGCCCCTGCCACACACCCCCACAGCCACTGAGCCAGATTGTGGGGAAGAGGCCCTTTTCCTCATCAACATAGGGACTAGGTGTTATGCCAGTGGGGTTGATCCTGGCAAAGTACTCCTCCATGTTGGGGGCATATGCCTACCATGGTTCAGTGGGGGGGAACATGCACATCCCCCCCCCCCCCACTTTCCTGACCTGCCAGGCTTCATGCGCGAATAAGTGCTTGGTATGAATACTGGGGGTTACACACAGTATTTCTTTTTTTGACAACAGGTTCCCATTGTCATCCACTCTAGAACCTCAACAAGGCAATGCATTTTTTGTCAGAACTTCACATTGTTTTTTTGTGTGGGGGGGCCCACCATTAAAATCTATACCAGAATCTTATCTAGGATAAGGGCCTGGTATAGGTGAAAGGAATCCGCAGCTACTTTGTTTACAAACAAAAGCAGCTGCAACTGTAATTTTCTCACAATTTAACCTGAATTTTCCTTTCAGAAATGTCAGTTTTGCTGTAGTAGTGTCAATATATTCTATCCTACATACTATGTATTATACAGATGTGCCACTTTACAGGCAGGTTATTGGCACCCCCCCATGCAAGTTAGTCAAAATAGTTTAGCATTTTTTGCTTTGGTAAATACTCCTAAAGGAAGTGCCCAGCCCTGCCCCATGTCATTTGTTTGACAATCCCTTACCGATTAACCTGGTTATTACTGGCATCATTTGACCTCAATGGGTTTCAGATTTGCGACCCGAACTTCAGTAAAGTCTGCTGAACTCCCATCAAAACAAAACCAGGAATGTTCATCACATCACTGAGTAACAGACCTGGAACAGACCTAGTTTTAAAAATATATAAACATGTCCCAAGCAAATGACTCTGAAGTATACCAGTCATGTCACTTGCAATGTGTAGATTCTAAAGTGATTCTAAAGGCCTAAATTTAAAAAACAAAATAACAAAAATGTCTATACTTACCTGCTGTGTGCAGTGGTTTTGCACAGAGCAGCCCAAATCCTCCTCTTCCTGGGTCCCCTGCTGGCGCTCCTAGCCCCTCCCTCCTGTTGGGTGTCCCCACAGCAAGCAGCTTGCATGTGTACTCCCCAGCTGCTGCTCCGTGTGTCCATTCACACACTGAGTCGTGCTCGCCCCCCTCCCCCTCTCTCTTCTCATTAGTTTACTGGCTGTAATTGACAGCAGCAGGAGCCAATGGCTCCCACTGCTGTCTCATCCAATGAGGAGAGGGAGCTACGGGATAGCCGAGACTCCAGTGCACATTGTTGGATCGAGAGGGGGCTTAGGTGAGTATTAGTGGGGCGATGCTGCACAGAGAATGTTTTTTTGTCTTCATGCATAGAATTCACAAAGGTAAAAAACCTTGAGCCTTTACAATCACTTTAAAGTATTGCAAATTATATAACTGCCAATAAAATGTTAACTTGCTCAGTAGAATGAGATTGAATCCCAATGTGCTCTACCAATCATTTTCAGACAGTCCCAATGAAGAGGTCACAGATCGCCAAAATGCATTCACTTTTGACTTTCTAGCACACCATTAATTAAATATTAATTTCCATCTAAAAGAGCAATAATGTGAACCTGTTGGCTATTGGCATTGCTAATCAACAAGGAGTAAGGTACTCTTTTGATACACATTCCTCTGTCTATTCCATGAACTGGATCAAACTATATCAGTGTTGTGCTGACATTACTAAAGCTTGTACAAAAAACAGAGAGGACCCTCCATGTCTTCTGCAGCCTATTGAGCGCTCCCTGCTGTTGGTGTAGATAATGCATATTGAGTAAAAACACTAATAAATCCTCAAAAGCTGTGCTCATCTCTACTAAACACTGTCATTAAGTCTGCTAAAATTGTTTAGATTTGTTGTGTACATGGATGCCATAGCAATTAAAGACATTTCTTACATTTCTGTAATCTGTGAGGTTAGAAAGAGGATTCTTCTGTGATTAAAGATGTATGTATTAAAGGAGGTAGAGCATTTCCTCCCAAATTAAATGGCTTCTTTTGATGAAGAATTGGAGAGCCCTTACTTTGTGACCTGACGTTTGTTACTTAATCAGCATTAATAATGAGGAATTTTCTAAGCAGCCAAAATGATTATTGCGTTCTTCATAAACTCCTAGTCCTGCAAGCCCAAGATAGCAACATAATTAATATCCATGATAAATGACTAAGAACCAAGCTGTTGCAGGTTTTTTTTTTTAATTTTATTTTCACAGAGGAGTTAAAAAGGAAGTATTTAAAGCTTTTCATATAGGGCCATCTCTTTCCTCTGCGATATTGTTGGGAAAGTGCATTTAGAGGAGACTAAACAGACAGGTCTATTTTCACCTTTCAGAAAACAGAATAAAAAACAAGCTCGACTCTTACAATAGTGATATTGTAACAGCAGAACAATCTGCACAGAAGCAATAAAGAGGTCTGCCATTGCAGTTCACTTCAAAGTGCATTTAAATAACAAAGCCAGATCGCAATATGTCTTTATCAACAACTGCCAGTCAGTAACTGGCCTGCCTTGGGCAAATGAATTTGTGTGCATTCGCTGGATTGCTTCATTACAACATAATTCTTTTGGAAGCTAAAGTGCTGACAGGTAGGAGAGTTTTAACAATGCAGCACTGGCAATTGTTTATATCAGGTTCAGTGTCTCGATAATTAACAAGAGAAAATGTATTGCAGAAAATAAAAGCAAAACTTTTGGTGGCCACTGAAGCAGAAAATACTCCAAGGACATGTGTGAAATTGGTCAATATTTCATTGTTTACATTGGGATGTTGTACAGGGCTGGGGGTTCAAAACAGTGCAGTCAGGTTCCATTTTACTAGCATGTTTAAAAGGGAAAATGAAGTATTTTGAGTTATCACCTTAGGGCTCATTCACATTGGTGTGCTGTGGCAATGCATTGCAGTCACTGCACCACTGTGTGTTGTGGTCTGCCGCGCTACAAAAAATGGTATGTTCCCAAAGGAAATGATCTACCTTAACCACTTCAAGTCCGGACACTTTTACCCCCTTCCTGTCCAGGCCAAGTTTCAGCTTTCAGAGCTGTCACACTTTGAATGACAATTGTGCGGTCATGCAACACTGTATCCATATGAATTTTTTAGCATTTTTTTGAGACAGATACAACTTTATTTTGGTGATATTTATTCACCACTGGGATTTTTTTTTTTTTTTTTTTTGCTATATAAATGAAAAATTTAGAAAAAAGTGTTTTTCTTATAAAAGTTTGCAAATAAATAATCTTTCTTCATAAATCTTGG